AAAAGGGACAAGTTCCTTAAATAGCATTGAGGTTCTTGGTGCAAACAAAACAGCATGTGCACACTCACCATCTAGCTCCAATGGTTATCTCTTGACTTAATCATAACATAAGATATAGCAGATTAAATAGGAGAATTTTCTATTGTTTGTTTGTATTTAATCTGTGATTTGAATTCTTTTTTCCCATCAGGCCAACAGAGTGTGAAGACAGTGAAATAATGAAAAATATATGCAGAAGGTAACACATCCCACATATTGATGATCAACTATAATTCTACACTAAACATTCTGAAAATTGTAAGCTTTTAAGTACATGTTTACCCCATGGCTATGGAACGAGCACAGTATAGGGAATACTGAAGTTGCACCACTCAAGTGAGAAATTTTTGTATAACGCATATCTTATTACGCATGGCATTACAATTGGCGTCAATTAATTGAACGTTAATTGGGGTGGACCATATCCTTATATTCTTTAAGTTGTTTTCAAAAGAAATTAGCCAGGCATAGCGGAATGTATGAATATGTACGTCCCCCTCGATTAGCGTTCGATTAACGTCAAGGGAAATTAATTACCATATTTGCCGAATTGCAGCCAGTCAATTAATTGCATTTTTCAGCCAATCAGAACTTCGTGCTGGCTAACAGCCAGTGACTGATTAATAATTTTACAGCACTGGGTTGAATATACATGTAGTGGGTTTACTATTATTTCGTTATACTGTACGTGGCATCAGCAAGCATGCACTAAAACAAAATAGTTAACCACAAAAAAATAACCAGCTTTGGTTTGTCCCCCACCTGTGAAAATGGTATTGACTTAAAACGTTGGATGGTGTAACAAACTATTTCAACAGCCTGATTGCAGCCTTCAAACACTCCAACGAGTACCGCTATAGGTCATAAGTCATAACGTGTGATATAAAGTCGTGTCCCACGTTATAATATGGAGTTTTAGCAGTGACTACGATTACAACTACGAGTACGAGATTCGTCATTCTTGCGCGTTGTTTGCTTACGCCATCAGCCAAAACTCGTAGTCGTTGGGCTTTGGAGTACGAAATTTATCAAAAAACTCGTACTCAAAAGCTCGGCGACTACGAGTTTTGGCTGATGGCGTAAGCAAACAACGCGCAAGAATAACAAATCTCTTACTCGTAGTTGTACTCGTAGTCACTGCTAAAGCTCCTTAATGTCGCACCAATGGCGAAGAGCTAAGGAGCTTCAGCTATTTCATGTCATTAGAGAGGTTAAGATACCCGTACTATTAGAGAGGTTAATGTACACGTACCCGTACCAAATTGTAACTTAAGAAATTCAAAATATTTCGACATAAGAAAAACGATCAGAAAATAGTAACTCTCCCTTTTGATTGTGTGTCATATTGTTAACATTTTGACAAGCATCTTTGCATTATTTATTTCGTAAAATCATAGGCAGGCCGATCAATGCGGGCACGTATACTATCTTATGTATATAATTATCCTAAGGCTGGCAACTCTCTCACAAAAATATAATGCATACATTAATACCATCGCTTGAAACACAAAAATTACGCTAGTTTCTTGAAAAAAAAACTAGGTACAAAATACCTTGGATATATTTACTAAATTTATCTGTCATTTTAGACTTGAAAACAATATAAAAATGCTTAAATTTTGCCAAAATTTATCGAAATTTTTGTTAAACAGAGGCGGGATGCAATTTACTCGGCAAACGTCATCATCGGCAAAATAAGTTATAGGCAAATTTCTGATAGGCTGTTGAAAGTTCGGAAAATCACGAAGACATTTTTTCTACATTGAGTTGGCCTTCTTGATTTTTCCAATTATGACGTTTGTCGAGTAAATTGCAAAGTATCTATGGACTGTTTAGAGGGACAGGAAATATAAGTCTGAAATCATTTGCCCCCCCAAACAGTCAATAGATGCTTTGCGGTTCGCGACTAGACCCAATACCCTGCTCGATTAGGAAATGGCTAATTGCGAAATTACAAAGCCGTATAAGCGAGTTATATTTTCGGTTATCTTGACCTTGTAACGAATTGAAGTTAATGAGTTCACGGCAACCAGGTATATAATCCATCGTAATTATCGCTACTCTGGTTTTAATAAATGAAAGTAATTACCACACAAAGATTAACTTTCACGACCCAACGTTTCGACACTCCGTTCTAGTGTCTTCATCAGGGGTGATCTGATGTTGAAACTCGGTTCCTTATATACTCTCAAAATGACGTCATCTATCAATCAGATGTAAATATTTTTTTGGCAAATAGCTTCCGTCATCCCTATTTAGGGCACAAAAACATATGTTACATACATTCATGCAGGGAATTGCAGAGCCAATCAGGAGGATCCTGAATAATTGTGGTATAAAAGTTGCCTTAAAACTCTTTCAGACCCTGGGACATATTTTCGCGAAACCCAAGGATGGCGTAGCGACTAAACAGAAAACTCATGCTGTATACTCTATAACATGTGGTGATTGCGAGAAAGAATATCTAGGTGAAACAAAACGCCAGTTCGGCACACGTTTGAAAGAACATCAAAAGGCCGTTTCGAACTTAGACAGTTCAAAATCAGCCTTGGCGGAACACGTGTGTCAAACTAACCATAACATTGGGTGGAACGATTGAAAAGTCATTACCACTAATGATCGTTATGGACAAAGGCGTTGTGTGGAAGCCTGGCATATTAATGCGAGTCTTGCTTCTATTCACATCTGATTGATAGATGATGTCATTTTGAGAGTATATAAGGAACCGAGTTTCAACATCAGATCACCCCTGATGAAGACGCTAGAACGGAGTGTCGAAACGTTGGGTCGTGAAAGTTAATCTTTGTGTGGTGATTACTTTCATTTATTAAAACCAGAGTTGCGATAATTACGATGGATGACCTTGTAATTACCTCGCGTGCGTAGCGCAGCGAGGTCTTAATTTGCCCAGCGTTTATTTTTCTGTCGTGTCGAGAATTTTATTGGTTGAGGCCAGTTGAGGCCAAGATCCGGCGCCATATTTGAATGAATGCGAAATTAAGCGCCATATATAAAACTGAATGCGAAATTAAGCGCGTGATCGTGGCGTGATGGCCACGACGCATGATCTGCTCGCCGGCTCACCCTGCTGTTTTCAATCTCATTGCTTCTCTATTCCTGATCAATAGCGAGCAATTTCGACAAGCTCTTTGAGAAATATGGCTATCCTAGTATCCTTCGTTTGTTTTTCAACGACAATCCCTTGACTCGCCAAGGAGCTGTATGTAACACAGAAAGGCGAGAAGACGGTCAACGTGCTGTCGACAATTCCTTGACATGCCAGGAAGCTTTATGCAATGGAAGAGAAAGGCATGGAGATAGCCAACGCGCTATCGATAATCCCTTGACTCGCCAGGGAGCTGTATGTAATCGCAGAGAAAGGCGAGGAGACGGTCAACGTGCTGTCGACAATTCCTGATGGTTCAGCGTTTCGCTTTCAGCCAGCAAGGAGTGTCGCTGTCACGTTGATATGGGCATCCCCGTGTTTTGGGTATCCCCATGCTCAGATCCCTAGTGATATGCGCATCCCCGGTGGGCATGCTGAAACACTGAATGTCGATGACTATAATAGCCGACGCTCCTCATGAGTCATGCACGCGAGGTTAATGCCTAGCGGGCATCTTGTTTGAAATGAATTTGACAGCTGCACTGCCACTGCGGTGTCAAGTTAACAGAAAGATTTATTAATTTCCGGATTATAACAGAAGCGATTGAGTTATACTATTTTTCTAAAGCTATATTTTGATGGTATTTTTGTGTTTTTTGCCCGCGCATTAACCTTTAAAAAAGCGGAACTTTAAAGGTGGCTCCCTACAACTTTAGGAATTTTGAAAACTCGTGATTTAGATTTAAAATTTTAGCATGAGATTTCTCGCTAAAGGAAGTGAAATTTCCTAGATGTAGTAAGCAACATTTTAACAGTCGGAAATCTTCCGTAAATATGACGCCACCGCTTTTGTCATGGTAGCAATGGCGATTCAATATGGCCGGCATTTTACATATTTACACATTTTACTCAAAAACAGTTTGGTTACCCCCATTTTTTATGTTAAAACGTTTTATCACAAAAATGGAAAATGTGAAATAATGGCCAGAATATTTTTCTACACTTTTCAGGCCAATCATATTGCGCGTCTTATTTATAAAAAAATACGAAGGCACCCTTGGCATCCAGCATCGAGACAAGAAATTTTGGCAGCAAATGCTTTAAAAATTGCCTATATTTTCGGACTTATCTACACTATTCGAACAATTTTTTTTCATGAGAATTGAGGGAAACTATCATTGTTTTGTTTTTTAACATTTTTTTAGTGTTCATCAGCGTTTGTGCGTTTTTTGTGCAATTTTTCAATTGTCTACATCGTATACTTCGTCAGAGCTCGTAGAGTTGCCTACCTTATATAATATATATATAGTATATAAATATGCATACATAATTTTCCTATGCTTCCTGGGCTTCCTATGCTCTTTCTGATACAATGGCCAACACTTTCTCGTAATCTAAGTATCCGAAACCGAGTTAAAGTGCTAGAAAAGTGCTTTCTGTGTATTGTTTTACTACCAGGACTTGAGGTAAATTTGCACAACTCAGTATAAAACTCTGAAAAACGCTACGAACATTGCGCTAATTGCTTGCATTGGCGGCATAGTATAGCTATATGTATTTCATTTGTTCTTAACAATATGAACTATTTTCTCAAAATATCTTATCTAGGTTTCAAGACTGGATGCCAAAGCTTCGACGTATTGACTCTGTTGATAAAGGTTTACTTGTGATAAAATGTGTTTGGGAAATGCAAGAAGATCACGTCATGGAGCTAATTTCGTCCTTTGCTTGCGAAGATGACGATGAAGAATTTTCTTTGCGTGGATTAGATATTGCACCAGCAGAATCTACTGCTTTGTTCAATTTTCTTAGTCACATCAGGAATTTAAAGAAGCTTCATATCTACAAATGTTCAATGACGAACATTGCTATTCGTGGATTGGGTGAGTTTTTGAGAAACGATAGCCATACTCTGAAGGGTAACAACTGCAAACTTAATGAACTAAGTGTTGGTTACAATAGTCTTACAGCTGAAGGTGCTAAATGTTTAAGTGATGCCCTGAAGAGCAACAATTGCAAACTTACTAAACTAGACGTAAGAGGAAATGATTTAAAGGCTGATGGTGCTAAATATTTGAGTGATGCTCCGAAGAGTGACAACTGCAAACTTACTGAACTAGATATAAGAGGCAATGCTTTAACAATTAAAGGCGCGGAATATTTAAGTGATGCTCTGAAGAGTAACAATTGCAAACTTTCTAAATTAAATTTAAGAGACAATGATATAGAAGATGATGGTGCTAAATATTTAACCGATGCTCTGACAAGCGACCAATGCAAACTAATTGAACTAGATGTAAGAGGCGATACTTTAACAAATAAGGGTGCTGAATACTTAAGTGATGCTCTGAAGAGTGATAATTGTGAACATACTGAATTGGATGTAAGTGGCAATTGTTTAACTGCCGAAAGTGCTAAATATATAAGCGATGCTCTGGAGAGGGAAAACAGCAAACTAACTAAACTAGATGTAAGTGACAATTGTCTAAAAGCTGAAGGTGCGAGATATTTAAGTAATGCTCTGGTGAATGCCAACTGCATAATCACTAAACTAAATATAAAAGGCAATGGTTTAACAGCTGAAGGTGGTAAATATTTAAGCGATGCTCTGAAGAGTGACAACTGCAAACTTACTGAACTAAATGTTAGAGCCAATGATTTAATGGCTGAAGGTGCGAAAAGTTTGAGTGATGCTTTGAAGCTTCACAGCTGTAAACTTATTGAGCTATATATAAGTCACAATGGCTTGACAGCCGAAGGTGCGCTATATTTAGGTGATGGTCTAAGAAGTGACAACTGCAAACTTGCCCAACTTCATGTAAAATCCAATGGTTTAACAGCTAAAGACGCCGATTATTTGAGTGATGCTATCAAGAATAAAAACTGCGAACTGATTTTATAAACTACAGGGTGTCTCAAAATATAAGAAACTGGATATCCGTAGCCTTGTTATCGCTTCGAAAGAAAATGGTACAGTACATGTATGTGCGACAAGCATAGGATGTTGGCAAAAATTGTACAGTATATATGTATGTGCGGCAGGCATGGGCTGTTGGCAGGTGACTGCACGTCGATGCACTTAATCCCCACATGCTTCATGGAACACGGAAGGACTTTTTTTCTAGTTTGGTGATTGAGACGAAACATCATTTGCCATGAACGGTGGAGTGAACACGCAGAATTTACGACAGTTTAATACCTTGCATGTTTTTAAAGTCTGCATGGTTTTCATGGTTTTCATTATTCACCGACAGTCGGCAATGCACTAATTCAAAATAACAAACCATGGTGAATATATATGCCTGACTTGAATTAATATGGTGCTAAATTATAATGTAATGGTGTTTAAAATGTAAACTGTAATATTTGTGTTGTAAGTATTATTAATATTCAGTAGCGTAGCCAGCCTGTCGATTTGTCCCGCTATGCTAATATTTTGGTGTTCACTGACTATGAAAACAATAGATTTCTAAAGACATGAATAATTATAATAACTCAAAATTTACATAGCGGGACAAAATCGTCAGGCTGGCTACGCCACTGTTAATATTTTCGAATACCAAAAAAGTTTACTATTTCATGTTCCACTAACTTCATTGCGCGGGCAATATTAAAACGTCTCCCAGATCCTGGAACAATGATTGATACGCATGTGGCTATCATTGTGCCTATAATTATATTGGGATGGAGGGGGGAGGGTTAGTAATTTACCGATGAAGTTAATGATTTTCTGACGAAGTCGCTTTGCTGATTCTTAAAATTATAATTCGTAAATTTACCTAATTTTATCCCTGAAAGTAAAAGCGAAAAGCACCAGTTGACAAGTTAAAATTAGAGCAAGACAAAAGCGTTAACGAGCACATATAGATCTAACACAAAAAATCAGAATATCACAATCGATATAAAGACGTCATACTGCGACTTGCGTACGAGGATCCAGCTCGTTTCGGCGGTATGAAATCCGTCATTTTCAGTTGCGTGACTAAAATGTCGTATTGTGACGTATTCAAAAACTCAACAAATACGGCTTTAAGCAGATTGAGGAGTTTTACTAACGGTATTTTCTGACAACTCCATTCTGCCTTTACCTTGTGCGTTAAGGTTGCCAAATATAAGTAGCTAAATTGTGATAATTTGTTTATAAGTAAGTTCCTAAATATATCATAATCATTATGGTAGCCAAAGATTTTCATCAAGTTTCTGAGATCTGGTGTTGTATACTTATTTAGACGTTAATGCTGATCCGCGTCGTATGTGGGTCAAACCAAACGCCATTTACACACCAGAAAATTTCATGTATTTATCATTAGTCTGAAGATGTCTTAAAGACGAAAAGTTACCAATAAATCTTTAATGGCTTTGTTAAAAGTAATATGTTGTGCTCTCATATTTATTCTAAGAGTTTCATAATCATCAATAATCATTCTTGCCTTTGTAGTGACCTCACATTGGTTTCGACCTTTTTCTCTATATTTCACTCCTAATCCGCGATTTATCTCCTCATCCGCCAACTTTGTTCCCAGGGTTTTTTGGGACTTTATAGGGGGATTGGGGCTTGGGGGAGGAGAGAAGAGGAAAGGCCCTGGGATCGGACGTTCAAAATACCCACATTTTGTAGGTATTTTGGAAAAGCATAAATTAACAGAATCAAGGTACAGAATCGAGGTTGTTTGAGTCTTCCAGAATCCAGACTCCAGGTAAAATATCTTGGGAACGAGGTTGCTCATCCGATTTCATCCGTTCGTCCTCATTTTATCCCTTCATCCGCATTTAATCCCTATCTCCATCCGCATTCTATTCCCTCATCCGCATTTTATCACCTTATCCGCACTTTCCCTCCCGCATTTTTCAATCCACCATTCCCAATCCGTATTCGCATTTTATCTTTCGAAGTTGCTATTTTATGAGAAGCCATAACCGCCAAAATCCAGAGTAACTTTATTTACAAAATGCCATTGTTAATAGTGACAATGACGCCTTGAATGTATAAAATGGTGATTAAATATCTTAAAATTCTTCTCTGACTCTAAAATATTGTAATGCTATGTCGAAATTTAGAAGCGCTGAATTTTTTATCCAGCAGTTAAATTTGAAAATGCCGGCTTTTTCATGCAGCAGTTAAGTTTGAAAATGCTAACTTTTTATTCAGCAATTAAACTTGAAAATGCTGAGCTAAAAAGGTCAGCAGCTTTCTCGTGCAGGCTGATGCAGCAGTTAAAATCCCAAAGTCTGGTGACGGGAATGGCGGAAAATATATAGAACAATGCCACAGAGAGAGAAAGTATCAAAATTTAACATAATTGTAACATACGAATTCCTTGCCAGATTTACCGAGAACTTTCAAGACCCTATCCTCCTTTGGGTTTCCCTCTTTTGAGAGTTTTTTGGTTTCTTCAAAACTTCTTAATGAGACTTTAAACAATCGCTAAACGATTGTTCTTTGTCTGTCTGCGTTACCGCAGTTGAAAACGAAGGTCATCCTTTGATGATCATTGCGATCAATAATTGTCTATCACTTATTGTTTCCCCAGCAGACTTTAGAGATGTGGATGCTATCTCTGCCCGCAACCTATAATCTGTAACAGATTCTTCGCTCGTCTTTGTAAGAGAGGTTAGTTCGATGTATAGAGATACAACACGTGGTTTGCCCTTCAACAAATAATGTTCACGCAGGATTGCCAGGGCCTTTCGTCCATCGTTAATAACTGCGTCTGGGATAATAAACGATGCTTCGATCATCTAGTAGACCTAGACCTAGGCTCCTCGGCTCAGCCAATGGTCCTTGTATGGTATCGCTCAATTTTTTGAGCCTTAGATAGCCAAGAAACTTTACTTCCCATAACTCGTTCTTTCGTTCATCACCGTCGTATACAATAAACGGCTCATTGCGGTTGTGACTCTGGCTGGGCTCATAACCTTTTAAACTCATGACGCTGGAAGACTTATAGAAAAATATTCACTAAAACTTATACAATTTACAAGTACTGGAGACAACTTACTAACAACTATATGAAACAAAACTTTCATATTGCTAATTTTGAAGAGTTGTATATATTTCATAACTTGCCTTCTCCTCCCTAGTGCTCTCACTTTTAAGGATAACTCCTTAGAAATAGGAATTTAGAAGAATTTTGAGAGTCTTTTTAAGGAATTTAGGTTTTTAAAGAATTTGTGCAATATTCACGATAATTAGCCATTTCCCAATCGAGCAGGGTACTGGGTCTAGTCGCGAATCGCAAGCATCAATGGACTGTGTTGTGTTAAGATTGCAAAGGATTATAACTTTAATATAAGTGTCTTTTAGAACAGACTATAACACTGTTTATATATTGTACAAGAAATGAGCCCGCGCTCATTTAACTAACTTAATACTATATGTTATACTAATATAATAACACTACAGACTGTTTGGAGCGACAGCAAGTATAAGTCTGAAGCGTTTGTCCCAAACAGTCCATAGATGCTTTTCGGTTCGCGACAAAACCTCGTACCCTGATCGATTGGGAAATGGCTAATGGTCTGCATGGCGTATACATGTAAACAAATATACACAGGGTAGTGACAAGAGGGTTATAATACCCTAGCTAAGGTCACTAACCATTATCACACGGACGTTGCAGATATATAACGAACGGACGAGCTGTAGAGTATAATATATATATGACGGAAAGGAGTTGTTAACCTTGCTTTATATAACCTTGCTGAAGGGATCATCCGCCACTCTCTGTGTTCTAGATCTTGTCCACAACTGGCTCTCTAAAACGGACAATCCACGTCACTATCTTAGTCTTAGAGCTTGCTTTCTGGATTTTAGCAAAGCTTTCGACAGAATTGGCCACAATATTGTTATAACTAAACTGATCGATTTGGGAGTGTCCCGTTGGATTCCCTTGGATTTGCAGCTTCCCATCAAATCGTCGTCGTGTGTTAAATTTCGACAATGCGTGTCCCGATGGCTACTAAATAGTGCTGGAGTCCCTCAGGACACCAAATTGGGTCCGATCCTTTTTGTCTTAATGATCAATAATTTAAAAATAACATCTCTGCGTTCCAGTAGTTGGAACCAAGCCAGCCCAAAACTGGTGGTTTTTTAGATTAAATAAATCAATTTTATACTACATTATTGCTTTTATAGCTTGCGTAAGACTGGACAGAACATCGTGCGACAAACAGAGTAACGCCGCCTTTCGCAAGCTATAAAAGGAATAATATGTATAAAATGTCGTGAATTAAGGCCCTGTTACACGGTGCAATTTTTCTTGCAATTTGCTATGCATTCTACTTCTAAGAGATGTAAATTAGTGAACAGTCTTGCAGAAGAAAAGTGCATGAAGTGTAGTAAACACAACATTATGCTTTACATTACGTATTTTATGAAAGGTCAGCGTTCGAACAGAGGCCTCAAGAAACGTTTTGCATGCGTAAATAAGTCAAATTTCACAGAGGTATATCTCAATTTACCAAACAAAGTTGTCTTTCTTGACATAAAATTGATTTATTTAGTTTAAAAAACCACCAATTTTTGGCCGCATATGGTTGGGAATACGCGTTGACGACGTAACAATATCTGAGGTTGTCCCATGCAACAAGCGAGGTATCCAAATTACAAAACGAATTGCATCGCAATTAGTGATTGGACAAGTTCCAATAATATGAAATTAAACTCAAAAAAGTGCAAGGAGATGTTTATCTCTTTTCGACGTGAAATAGAGCAACCCCCACCCACCCTAGTTGTTGCAAACATCAGTCTTTAAAGAATAGAATCCAACAGTATTAAAGTATTGGGATTTACACATAGAGATAGTAATCAAAGCATCAAAGACAAACTTTGTTTATCTGTAGCTTGCAACAGTTCCAACGACATAGTGAGAAAATAAACAAAATAATTTTAAATTCAGGAGAAAAAATGTAACTAGCCTCGTTTTCATGTAACCCGAAACAGACCTCTTGCTCTTTTGGAATAGGTCTATGGCATTCATCATTAACTATCAACTAGTCAGAGAAAATAAACGGGTCCAAAGCGGACAATGCGACTATATCCCACATCAAGTTATGATGCAGCTCTAGATCAAGCCAAATGTTCGACATTGCACGCAAGACGCGATGCTTTCTGTTTAAAAACTTTTGATAGAATGCGACAGCTAGATTCACCGTTCACGCCTTAATCACCTTATACCACCGTCACGGGTTAACAAACATAATTGCTTTTTTCCGGCAATGTGTCTCCGATCACATAATTTGTAAATTTTGC